TCTTTGTTTTGTTCTGTTTAGTCCACCTATATCTGTTTTAGTCTTCTTTATGGACTTAGTGGTTCTTTTGCTGTTTTTCTTTGTTTTGTTTTGATAGTCCACCGATATCTGGTTTTAGTCTCCTTTATGGACTTCGTGTGACCGTGTCTCCATTATGGAGTTTTATTTTGCGGGTGTTCCTCTCCTAGATAGAGCGTGTACCCCCGTGTGTGTGCTTACAAGGAGGGTTGGTCCAGACCTCGTTCTGGTGTCAGTCGTGTCTGATAACACTCGATTGTACTTTTTTGAGTTTATAAGTTATTAATTGTTATTGTGTATATTTGTGTACTTACTGTATTAGCCTTAGGTTATTTTTAAATAGCTGTAACCCTAATTTTGTGTATATATTCTTGGTTAATAGAGAGTTGTATCATCGATTGAGGTGATATTTACCCAAAAATTATGTCTCGTATCTCTCGGATCATGGTATCAGAGCCCTAGTTCTCTCCTTTTCTCGATCGTAAATTTTTTCAAATACATCTGATCGTCTTCATCATCATGATTGCATCAGGCCGCCTGCTCGATTACGTCTCTGCCGTATCACTTGTTCTGTCCAGCCGATTGCATCTCGGCCATTCTTCACGTCTGGTGAAACTCGACATCTGCATCCACCACTTTCATATCAAAATCTTGGCTACTCTCCGACACATTAACTGACTGCTAAAAGGGAAACAAATTTTTAAGAAATTTATTTTCTTAAAAGTGTGAAAATATGTTAAAAACAGTTGGGTGAAAACCCTAGAACCGGATAAAAAGAAAAAGACGGCCCCTATTTATTGCCTAAAAAAGTAATTACTAAGCTCAAACTTGGAGTATCAGTTATCGTATAGTAAGTCATCACCACCTCCAACAGTTGCCACATGTCCCAAGAAAAAGGCGAGCTACCCCAATTACTCTTTAAACTCTTTAAAGAAAGTTTGGGTTTATCCGAATTACTCTCCAAACACGTTAAATAAAGTTTGGGTTCCTATATGGTCGCGCGATAACATATACGATGTTGATCCTGCCCAGTTGACCTTTCGGTCAATGTAAGTTGCATACAACTTTCCAGATCCTCATGACGATCTTGCGATCCCCTAGACGATTTAGAATCCTGGGGTCTTCTATTGTATGTGTACCTCGAAAAAACCCTTGTAAATGGGAGGAAGACACTAAAAATGAAGCACCAATAAGGCTCATGAGATACAAAGGCCTCCTTGCAAGCGACCCAAAATAATAAAATTAGGTTTGTCGATCACTCGATTGGCCGAAGTCCATTCTTGCCAATCCGTAACTACCGATCTCTCATGCAGACCTCCCTGCAGAATGTGAACGTCTTTTGACAAATCAAACTGGTAAAGCCACTAAAGCCGGTGAGACCGTCGCCCAATAAGTCTTGTCACACTGCCCATTTGGTCTTGTAATGTCGAACTGAAGAATATACATCCTCAAAAGACAGATTTCTATATGGCACCACGCTTCAGTACCTCACAAAAATTGTTGACCGAAAATGAGGCATCTAGCATCAAGGTGGTAATCAACCGTTATTGTATTTTATCTTTTTTTTTTTTTTTTTTNTTTTTTTTTTTTTTTTTTCGCGTATAAACGAGGCATCAATATCTCACAAAAACAGAAACAACATAGAACAGTACAATAGTACACCAGTACTTCAAAAAGCCCAAAGCTAGAGCCACCATTGTAACAAAAATACTCTTTACGAGTCATTTCTGGAGAATTCACTCTTCTTGCCGATCTTCCAACATATCGGCAAACTTGTGTATACTCTTTAATTTTTTGCTCTTTCATTATAAGGAAGAATAATTTTTATCGGTCTCTCACATAAAATAAATCTAAAGCACTCTTAGTTCCATAATTAAGAGTCGTTAGCGATCGCTCGTCAACAAAAAGCTTTTTCAAAATTTGTGTTATGGTTGGTGATTAGTGCATCAAAAATATATTCTATCTCCAATTTGATTGAAAAAATATCATAGACTGCTTTATGAGCAATAGATTTACTTGTAGCACTAACATTCAAAGTCGCATAAAAAAGAAGACTAACAAAATTGATAAATGTGACAACTTTTCCTAATTATCATCAATTGGATGCCGCACCCACTTTCTTTCTTTATCATTCTTCCTTCTAATTATAGCCCTTTCTTTCTTTATCATTCTTCCTTCTAATTATAGCCCTTCAGCTTCATTTTCAAACTTAATCTCAAGAAATCTTCTTCATATTCATTACCATCCTTATCAAAATAAGCTTTATACTCAGTGTCTCCTTCTTGAACCATTCTATCAAATGTCAACCTAATTTCAATAGCAGGTTTAAGCACAATAAAGGTGGAATTCCACGAAGTCGTAGCACATCCAACACACACACACACACACACACACACACACACACATACACATTTCTACTTAGAAGTTCTTCTTCTTCTTCTTTTTTTTTTCCACACATACTCATAAAGCCCCCAATCTAGCAGGTGAGCTCTTCACATACTTTACAACATTTATAATTGAAACAATTGCTTTTTCGTGCATTTAGTCCAACTTTTACATATGAAAATCTTGTCCCCTATAATATATTGTCTCTCACCATTGCTTAATTCCGTGCCAATTTATTTACAAATGTACTGTCAACAAAAAATGTTAAAATCTTCTTGATAGGTCGGCCCATCTTGCAAACATTTTTCAAGAGTCTTCCCTATACTAATTCCATGATAATTAGGTATCATATAAATTCAACACCTATTGTGCATATGTTCTTTCATTACCATATAATTTATGTTTGAATCGGGGCCCATGTATCAATGGTCGAATTAATACAATGATTATGAAGTTCATTTTTCAAATAGTCTTTTCTAGTATTGTGCACGCATAGAAAAGTTTTTACCACCATAGTTCGATAAAGTTTTTCACTTTGGCACAACAATGAAAAAATCTTTTGAACTCTGATTTCTCAGTAACACTAAATGGCAGTTCATCTACAATAATCATTTCAATAGTTGACTTAGTACAGATTTCTTGGATTCAACGTGTAACAACCACATAACTACCTTTTGGCCTCTACATCTTTAGAAAAATATTTTTGGCTCAGCTCCAATATTTCTTGAGTTGCTTGGATAACCATCACAATGTCGAAACTTGGAATTGAGAAAAATTAATTTAGGGTATCGATCAAAGGTCAAATGCGAAAAATGAGAAAGGAAAATTGGGGAAATGTTATTCCGTTACGGAACTATTCCGTCGGGATTGGTAATCGTTAGATCAACTATCCAACCAATCCCGACGGAATAGTTCCGTCTTGGATAGTTGATCTAACGATTACCAATCCCGACGGAATAGTTCCGTAACGGGATTGTAGAATCCCCTAGAAAAACTGTATTTTGCAAATTTTATTTTATTCTAATGTGAAGAATGATAATTATCACTTGGGCTGTTATCCAATTTTGCATAGAAAAAAATTATTTGCTTATCTGCTTTTCAATTTGAGTAAGAAATTAATGATTGGATTAGGCGCCAAATTCATTTATTATAACAGTATAACCGTAGGATATTCCTTGGTTATATTTGTAGGTATTTACATTCGTAATCGAAAATTGAGGTTTTTTTTTTGTTGAGAACCCAAACAAGAAAAATGATACTCCCTCCTATTCATAATAAGTGTCGTTTTGGGAAGTTGCACATTAATTAAGAATAATTTTTTTGCCAATGCTAACCCTCACTAATGAAGATAGAGGTGGATGTTTTAAAAAAAAAAATGAAGAGAATATAAAAAGACGTAGTGTATTTATTAACTAAATGAGGATAATAATGGAAAAATATGTATACAAATTATCCAAAACGACATTTATTTTAGTTAATAGTTGATAAAGCCAAAACGACATTTAAAAAGAATAGGAGGTAGTAAAACTTTAGCAAATAACTGAATCGAACTAGCTTATTTCGGCTTGCTTCTCCGATTCTCGATTTTAATAAAATTCCATCCCTGCTCATCGGACTTAACTTGAAGCCCATGAGGAAAAAATGATGCCCCTTAACCTTACCTTAAACATTTTACATTTAAACACTCGTTCACTATTTAGACAAATTTACTCCTTTTAACTTTTTTAATGGACGCAATTATTTTTTAATCTATTGTGTGGTTTTGTATTTGTTTTGAATTTTTTAATTTGTAACCGGCGAGCGGTTTGTAAAGGACACGTTCCGACTCTTTCATTGTTTTTCTTTTCATCGATGTTCCTACATTATTGTTGCCTTTTTTCTTCCTCGGCTACATCTAAGACACCAGCGGGCAGACCACATATATGGTTGGAGAAATCAAGCCGCAACCGTATCTGAAGCCACGAATTTTGATGCATCCAGTCCAAATCTAGTCGGTGGTTGGTGGTCGATATCACAGATCTTGTAAGGCCTCCGCAGCAACACCACAATCAGAGACGTCAAACCAGAGCCGCAGCAGTCGCCCCTCGTCGGCCCCAACTACGGTCTGTGTTAATCGTCCGATTGAAATTTTTTGTGAGAATTTTTTATCTGTTCTGCTATTTATCATGATGAATTTCCCTTGTTGAGTCGCCCCTCGTCGACCCCAACTATGGTCTGTGTTAACCATTGAATTGCTTTTTAGATTTTTTTTTTAGATTTTTTTATCTGATTATTATTATGTTGAATTTGCCTTGTTGATGCGTTGTAAGTAAGAGAATTTCATATTTACCTCGATTAAATGTTCCTGGACTCTATTTCGACCCATATGACTGTGAAGAGAAGTGGATTGGAATTGATGTTTTTGTGATTTTTATATTATTGGCACAACATACCAGATTAACAATTTGATTAACAAATTGATCACGACAATTTGGAATTTTTGCAGTGGATGAATTTCTTATGTAACTCAGCAGTTTTGATGTTTTTCTATGTTGGACTTGTGGAATTTTTTGGGCAAAATGAATTGAAGTGTTCGTGTGTTGATTTGTGTTTATATGCAATTTTGCGTATTGGGGATGAGCCGAGACACAAGCGGTTCCTTTCGCCCGACAACATGGCTGTGGCGGACGAGCATGGACGAATCTTGTTTGTGGTTCACCAATCACCACGCAACATCAACAAGCGATTAATGGGGAGGACCATCGAAGATCGCCATTGGACTAGAGGCTTTAAATTTGATGGATTGGAGACCTAAGAGCAATGGAAACCAATTGATCAGCGACGTCTCAGTTTCGTGGCTCGTTGAATGTAGCTGACGACCTATGATGATACTTTTTTTTTGTTGTGAAAATTATTTTCACGTTGTTCGATTGCTAAAATGGTACTTTTTTGTACATACATTACACTAGTATATTTGTTATAAAACTTAATTTCGTGGTATTTTATTGTTAATTGAAAGTTGATTTCATGTTGCTTTAATGTTAATTGAAAGTTGATTTCATGTTGCTTTACGAATTTTATATTGTTATTTTGTTGTTACAATACACACAATCTTGTTCATGTTTATGTTCTGCGCTTTATGTTGTATTAGTGACTCACGTAGTTTATTTATATTATATCGTTAATAATTGTAGTTAATATATATATTTTTTTTAATTTTTGAAAAGTATACAAGTTTTATATGAGATATGAATGCATCAACTTTATTGGGGTTGGATTTATGATCTAAAATGGCGATAGAGAAAAAAATATGGAGAAGGGAAAGAGAAAAAATATGAAGAAGGGTATGGGATGTGAGGAAAAATAAGGAACATTAAGAGAGAAAAAAAATTATATACGAGGGGCGTTGAAGAAACATAGAAGAGAGAGAAAGTATGGATAATGACAAAATTGGGATCATGCAATTTTCCTGCAATTGATGCAATTTTTTTTTTCTCTGAATAAGTCGGGAAAAATTCATA